TGCTCAGGAGTACCTATACATTAGGCTTTCACCAATAACGTTTAATAGGTGCCTGGAAAATAACGATATTAGTGAAAACATTATTTGTGTGACATTAAAATACATGTAAAAAGGGTTTATTGGTGCCGCCGCCCCAAGAATTTCACCCAATTTTTCCCCTTAGAAGCCCTCTTAACACTTTTTGTTCGATGAAATAAAAATAATTGTTATTCAATCATCAAAATAAAGAGTTTGAGTAATATAACACTTAGCTTGGGGGAGTTTTTGAGGTGCTTGGTGTGATGATTGTTCCGTATCTGAGGGCCGCTAAGACTTGCACCCTCTTTCATTCTACAAGCTAACCATTTCACAAGAAAATGCTCTGTTATCACTAACAACCTGTTTCTATCGCCTTTATCATTCATAGCTCGCCTCGCATTTCCATCACTACCAAAATATTTCTTAGCCAGCGCAATACTCTTCTTGGTCTCCTCTAAGTTCCTCTTAATATTTTGCACTGTAGACTCAGGACAGTTCAATTTCCTCACAATATCAATGTTCCGTGCACCACTTTCATTGAGCTCAACAATCTGTCCTTTATCCTTGACCGAGTAGGCACGCTTCTTGTGGCTTTGTCTCTTAGCTTTGGGATCTTTTTTCTCATTCACTTTAAAAGTTCCCGGGCGTTCAGGCGACAAATCACTCCCTCCACCACCTCCCTCACAGGCAAAAATGCGGAAGCCATTGTTGATTACCGACCCTAGCAAAACTGGTTATAGAGGCAAAAATCTCCCACGTGGGCGCAGCGCTGTATTCCACGGAGTGTGTGTGAGAGTGAGGCGGAGTGGACAACTACGTCATCAACATGGCGTCAAACAATTGCTATCATTGATGCGCTTGGACGCTTCCCGCAAAATCTCCATTATTCAAGAGAATCCAGACGTTATTATCGAAAATGGGTAATCTATTGTAACTTACCGTTATTGTCGAAAACATTATTGTGGAAGTCGTTATTGGCAAGAGCCTACTGTACACAAGACGTACATTTGGCAATGTCGGTGTTATCTGGCACCTATGTACACTGCCTCCAAACTTGCGTGAGTGACCGCACCAGTCACCCTTTGTGGTTCAACATCACAGGACATAACCTATATTTCCCACCATGTTTTTGTGGCTTGTGGTGATTTATCGTTCATCACAGCGATTTCATTTATTGATGACAATGTTAAGATAGTTTTGAACCATGCCTTGTGTTGCTGGCGGAGGTGGAAGGGTGGGAAAACAAAAAATACGAAGAGATTGCACCATATGGTGATAGTGTGGTGCCTACTGAGGCCTCTCCCAGTGTCCCTGACCCTTCTAGTGCATGTCTAACCCTTCAACAAGCAGTAATAGAGCGAAAGGAACTGCCCGGCATGTCGTGGTTAGAAGAAAAAATACAAAAAGTGTTGCACATGTGGTATCTCAGCCATCGCTGTGTGGTTTACCTCATGATCGCTCATCTCTTTCACAATGTGCACTACCCGTCCTCCCACTAAAAATAAATTTAGTCACCTTGTTCAGGAAGTGGGTCACTGTGGGGCACGGAGCAAGAGAGGAAAGGGCGGGAGGGGGGAGGGGAACATCACCAAGTGCTCCAACATCTAACAACATGTAAGTAAAGAAATTCATTAGTGATATCTTCCTTTGCCGGAACAATTGGTGCGGAGCACTTCCGGGAATAAGAGATTTCCAGGTAATGAGACGACTCTCTCAAAGCCGGGAAAAAAATCCCTCATCCCCGGAATTTTCCGGGTACCGGGAAATTTTTTCCGAAGTTCCAGAAATTGCACATTACATCATCTCTCGAACCCAGAAAGAAATCCCCCATCCCCGGAATTTTCCAGGTGCAGGAAAATTTTTCTCGGAATTTCTGGAAAATGTGCCAGATTTTCATCTCTCAAACCTGGAAAATAAATCCCCCTATCCCCTGAATTTTCCAGGTACTGGAAAAATGTTCTCTGAATTTTCCAGAAAATTCTGGCTATAAGAGAGTTCCGGTTAAGAAGGATTCCTGCTAATGGAGATACAGTATTAGTTTCCATAAAAAAATATATGTAATATTTTTATGCATTACATTTCACCAATAATTTACAATTAATATTTCATATGAATTTTGAAAATATAAGCATATATTAACACATTATGAATAATTTATGTAAAAAATATAAACTTTGAGCGAGGAACATTCACATTTGGGAGGTCGAGTGGCATCCATGCACTGCCATTTGTGTTATACTCACACTTATGTATAGATTTAATAATTTTATTATGATTACCTAAGTCTAGATAATGTATTTACAATGCTACTGCAACAAACCCGACCTTTATATCTTCAATAGTATGCTTGCTATGACTCAATATATACAATTATCTTATGCGGTCGGAGGGTAAGTATGAATAATCTGTACTTGGCCTGGGCGTGCTCATCAGAATACAGAATTTACACCACTATTACCTAGTGAAATTTTAGTTTTTTCACAACTTTTCTTCTATAACTATTTTTTGCTATACATGTACACTTTATAATGGAATAAGGTTCATGTAGGAATTACATGAAATAATGATGGTATAAAGTGGTGTATAGTATAAACATTTTCATTAAGCGTAAACAAAAATTTTGTGTTCTACTCACACTTACATATATAAGTAATTATTGTATCATGATTACTCATATAATAGTGTTTGTAGATTATTTATTTACAATGCTAATGCAACAAACCCCACCTTTTTATCTCAAATAGCAAGCTTTTGATGACTATGTATAATTATCTCTCGTATGGTGCAGTCAAGTGAGGTGAGGTTAGTGACCAGCCAGACCCTGAGCGTCTCACTGGAGAGCACCTTCCTAAATCCAAGGGTGTTAATGATGTTCTGTATGGGGAGGGTTGTGCTTTAACCTAATCTAACCTATGGAATTAACACTGTTCTTACTTAAGAACAGATCGACTTATGAACAGGGTCGAGAAACAACTCTGAGTAAAAATGAATCAAGAGGCTGAAGATGCTCTCATTGATGTACTGTACAATATATAGAAAGTGATATTTTGGAGAAATTGAGTTTTTGTGATATAATTCAACTTTTACTTTTATCCTCTTCACCACTGATTGGCTCGTTAGCCACTTGGGCGATCAGTTATGTCTCTGTTACGCACTGTTGGCAAGTACTGGGCATGCACTGGCTCCTGAATGTATCTGAACCTGCTCCAGTGTTGGTCAAGTCTGGTCTTGAAAGAGCTCACACTCAGTGCCGTCACCACACTCTGGCAGATTGTTCCAAGAGTTCACGACTCTCACTCCGAAAAAGTTACCTCTCACAGTTATCCGGACTTTCTGTATGTAAGATTGTGTGTACATGTCACTGAGTAAAAAAAATAGAAAATAAAAAATTACATCTAGCTACCTGAAATTATGAGTTGAAAAATAACCATAACAGGTGGGAAATGATTGGAAATTTCCTCGCTCGGCCGGCAAATATTTTGCGCTTATTTTAGATAACTCGTTCCAGAACATAACCAGTTTTTTAACCGTTTATCTGGATACCCGTATACCAGATAAACGGTCCCATACCTGTGTTGTTAATAACACTCATGGAAAAGGGGCCCATAAAAACTAGCCTCGGGCCTTAAGTACTGTACAGTCAATATGCCACTGTTTCCAAGCCATGCCTTGACCACCAAGTGTCAAGAGAATCATAATTTAAACAATGCAGCAACAAGTACCAAGTTTATTATAAACAGTACCTCACAGAGTGTACTATGACTACTATGGTAGTCATCAAACAGGATGTTCTAGAGTTTATTGAAGCTATAAAAGGTTCCTAATAATATTTGACTTGAAGCTTAGAATTATTCCCAAACCTTGGCACATTGGAATGAACTTGTTTTATTTTTATTGTGATTATGGTTATTATTATATTTTTGTATTAATATTATTATATTGACTATTGCTATTGTTATTATTAATATTACAGGTACGTACTGTATTATTGCCGTGGTCCCTCGGTTAACGAACACAATTCGTTCCACAGTCGTTCGTTAACTGAAAATTTCGTTAACCGAATCTATTATTTCAATGGGATATTGGGTAATTGGTTCCAACTCACAGAAAAAGTACATACAAAATACTGTATAACAGTAATAGAATTAACAAAACATTAAATATAAACTAAGTACTGTACAGTATACTGTACAATAATAAATAAAAAACAATAGAATACAGTACTGTATTTTAACTTACTTTGAGGTGTGTATGTCGTACTGCCGGCAGCTTTGTTTGCATATCAAACAGCCGATTAGTAGAGGCAATGGATGATGACATGCCATATTCTTTACAGAGTGCATTGGTTCTAATGCCTTCTTCATGTTTCATAATAATTCCTGCACTGTATATTATCAATATGTTAACTAAATTTCAGAATGACCAGTAATTTTAATGTAAAAATGCAAAAATATTCAAGAGACCAACAAAATCGATGTTCACTCCACTGTAAACAAATTTAAACTGAGAAGCGTTGTTGGGTGATTCAATCAGCTGATGGGTGCACAAAAACTGTTCCCTGTACTGTCTATATTATCAATATGTTAACTAAATTTCAGAATGACCAATAATTTTAATATAAAAAATGCAGAAATATTCAAGAGACCAACTTTCTTGATATTTACTTCACTGGAAACGAATGTAAACATAGAACCAATTACTGTATTGGCAGACTAGCCGATCAGCTGATGCACACAACAAAACGTGTTTGTCGTAAGGATTTTGTTAATCGAACTGAAAATCCTATGGGAGCTAATTCGTTAACCGAAATTTCGTTAATCGAACCGTTTGTTAACCGAGGGACCATTGTATTATTGCTAATACAGACAAGAAACAGTGCTTTTAAAGACTACAGGTAGCATTGGTTACCTACATACAATACTGTATACCCTGGAAGAAGCAAATAACTGTAATTTCTGAGATGTGTATTTTCTGTTTGACAGGTAAAATTTGTCACAAAAATCTGGCACCCCAACATTTCATCGGTAACTGGTGCTATTTGCTTGGACATTCTCAAAGACCAGTGGTAAGTTACAAGACAAATAATGAATCCTTTGGATTATACCGTACCAGTGCAATACTTATTAGCTCTTCATGATTTTGATAAAGTTGTGAAGTTGGCATGTTTTAGAGGCTGCATTGATACTCTGATGTACTGTAAACATACACAGTCACACCTAGGTAAGGATATCTACAACTAGGATACCCTACAGTATATCAGATTTGTAAATTTCATCAGACAAGCACTTCTCTACATGGCTATGCAATTATGACTAGGTATCCCAAAATTTATCATTAAGAAGACAAAAATACATTTTAACCCTTCAACTGCTATTCCTGCTGCATTTAAAGGCATATTGTTTAAACTCTTGCTCCTTTCTAGCTTACTATGGGTGCTAAATACTTCCTGCCACTATAACTCATCTGGGTGGAATTTTCCACACTCCCTCAACTCCTCAGGTCATCCCTCAGTTGCCTGAGTCAAGACAATTATTATTATTATTATGCTGTACTATCATAATTTTAAAGTATTCAGTATATTTATGTCTGGGGAAATATTTCGAGGACCATATTTTTAGTATTTTGTGAGTAAGAAAGGAACAGTGTACAAGTAAGTGCAGAAAATAGAACATAAGACTCGAAAAAATTATTGAATTAAAATGTATTTTTTTTTGTAAAGGTTAACACTAATTTAGAATTTTTCAAAAATCTTGCACCTGTGGGGGGCACTTTTACTGAGTAGTTAGCAGTTAAAGGGTTAAAAGAGTGTATTTCATTGCAAAGATATTATTTAGTGTGTTAACTTTTGTTTTAAGGATCCAGGAATATAACCCTTAATTTACCAATACTGTAGTAGCTGAGTTCAGTTCACACAAATTCAACATGCATGAGGTTTTACAAGACCACGACTTCATTTATGTTTGGTCTTAAAGGAATCCAAATTATCAGATTTTAGACAAGTAGTTATTTTTCATAAAGGTGAAAAGGAATTGGCATTTTTATTGCTTTATAGGATTTAGTGCTGAATCTAGAAATTATGATTGTATGGAAGAAATTCTGGATCATAAACTGTCAAGTTCACTACTTATCACAGTTAAAAGATTAAATTATACATGAAAGGATTTCAGAGTAGATTATACCGTTTTCAAGAAGCTTTACTTAACAGGGCAGCGGCAATGACTTTGCGAACAGTACTCCTCTCCTTGCAAGCATTATTGGCAGCAGCAGAACCTGATGATCCTCAAGATGCAGTGGTAGCCAGACAGTTTAAAGAAAACCATGCACTCTTCCTCCAAACTGCTCAGTATTGGTCACATGTCCATGGTGGAGGTAAGTACAAAAACCATGTTGGCAATCGGTTCTTTTATTGGAGATGGCTATTTTTCTTGTTTTCATGCTGTGTGTGCATTGAGAGTATCTTCTCAATCTCTGGATTTCTCACCTTCGTTATTATGTTGGCAGAAAGAGGTGTTGCATGCTGAACAGCACCTCTTATCTTGTCTGCATTCTTCTTAATATTTCGAATCATGGACTCACCCAGTTTATAGTAATGGCCAAGTGCTGATCCACCCTCAACCACCTCAGAATGATTCAAAATTTATAACTTTAATTCTGGTGTTTGGGTTGTTCTCTTCCTCTTCATGGGTGGACAGGGTCTAGAAGATATTGTAGGATGCTTGGAAGCCATATTACAATATGGTAAAAAAATTTATGGGTGTAAAAAACACCAAATCATGAAAGAATCCACAGGAGTGATAGAGCAGTAATTCACATGGAACACTGGCTAATGCAAGACTGAGCGCTTGTGGCAGAACGACGCACAGCACCCAAACTTGGCCAATGAAACACAAGACTCAGTGATGGCGCATTTACTCGCATAAATTGAATTCCTGGTAAAAATAGGGTCCTTGCATATGAGTGAATTCGCATACAGCATACTGAACTTTAATAAATTGAGGACTTACAATACACAGACACAGGTAAGTGTGGAGGGATCTACTCCTACTGTGGACCAACTGGCCCGCTTGGCGTCATGCACAGAGCAAACATATTTGGAACTCCTGTCTGTCCAATCTGTTTTGTTAGACCATACCTGCGTCACCAATTCGCCAGACGGCTAGCCCACCCATACTCCTTCCCCTGATGTGACATCACGGCATATATACATTGCAGTACACACACATCTCTGAGTCAGCTGGGTGACTGCCAGGCTGAACTGTGTTACGTCACCAGAGGATGATTTTAGTGAACGTAAACTGCAGTGATATCTCCGTTAACTGGAACAATTGGTGCAGAGAACTTCTGCAAATGAGAGATTTCAGGGTAATGAGACGATTCTCTCAAACCACGAAAAAATCTTTATCTCCGGAATTTTCAGGGTACGTACCAAGAAATTTTTCTCCGAATTTCCGGAATTTGCATATTATGTCATCTCTCAAATTCAGAAAAAATCCCATATCCCCAGAATTTTCTCAGAATTTTTCAGACTGGTCCATTATTTCATTTCAAACCTGCAAAAAAATCCCCCATCCCCAGATTTTTCCAGGTGCCGGGAATTTTCAGAAAATGCGCATCTTGGATTATCATTCCCAAACCCAGAATGTTCTGGAAAATTCCAAGCAAATTTAAATTCTGGCTATTGAAGAGTTCTGTTTAACAGGAATTCCCACTAGCAGAGATATTACTGTATGTGCTATTGTGGGTTTTTTTTTGTGATTGGTATCAATTTTATTGTTTATCATATATTTTTTTTTTCCATTTTTGACTTAGGCAATTTGCTTTGCTGTTATCCCTCAATTTAGTGATAATTTTGTTTAACATTAGGTTTTTCAGGACTGCAATGCCATCATTAAACTAGGGATACCTTTATAGTAAACAGAGAACTTTTTTTTTTTTTGCGCTGAACTGAAGCCTCGTAGAAGGATGGAACTGTTTGCATTAGAATACTGTATTTGACAAAAGACACAGCAACGATGTTACAGTACAGTACGTGTACTGTATTAAAATTTTTCCATCATTATGTTCCTCCAGAAAATTACATCAAATACAGTATAATCTGCATTTACGCGTTTGGTCATTTACGCTGTGCCTTGCCAGAATGAAAATGCTTTAAGTACTCGGTAAATTTGGTCATTTACGTGGTGAGCGGCTGGAGAGGTCCAGACCATTTTTTACCCACGCGGTCCATTCTTGACCATACGCTGGAAGCGGCACGGTGAGTGGTGCGCATTAGGCCGCTCTTACGTTATTGCTGATGTCATATGACGTATCGGACTGTGATTGGGCCACGCATCCTTACCTCCCTCCGCCGCTAGCTGTGATTGGTCTAATGTAACATGACGTGCCCTGCCACCAGAGGGTAGAAGTCGCTGACCTAGCCGGGCCTGTCTCATTGTTCTCAGTCCGCGTATACAGTTCTCTCTTGTGCTCGCTATTCCCCTCACAACTCACAATGGCTTCCGCGGGACCCCCACCACCAGAAAGAAACATTGAATTACCTGGACCAAGCCATGATAATGTGAAGGAAATCATCGAGTTGGGGGAGAAAATTAAGCTCATCCTTGACAACGACCCAGACAAGCATCGGTATGAAGTGTCTAATAACCATCTGACGAAAGTTATGGAGCCGTATATCCAGATCTATCTCGACAACATCAATGCTAGTCGTGAACGTAGTATTGAGGACTTCCTCGCCTGCAACCCACCACAACCACGGCCAGCCCAAGTCAGTGATAGTGAGGATATGGACTTTGAGGGGTTTGTCTGGGAGGCCCTGCAAACCTCTGTGAGTAGTGAAAGTGAAAGTGATTCACCGGAGGGCAACTAATCTGCCCTCTGCCTCGGAACCAGCAGCCATCCACGTGTGCCGACCCAGCTTTTCTACTAACGTAAGTGTTAAAAAACCTAATATTATTGATATTTCTCTTAATTATTAATTGTGTGTGCATACCATCATAAAATTAAGATGTTATTTAATAATAATAATAATAATAATAATAATTAACGGTTTATTGAAAGAGCTTGGCAGCCAGAAGGCTGAAAATATACAGTTACATATTTGGGGAATGGGTTTCGAATTACAAATAATATACAAGTAACATAAGTGACACAAATAAGACATATAATAACTAGATGGGGAAAAGCTCAAACTACAGTTCATTTCAACATAGTGACAGTGTAAGGAGTAGTGTTTACTGGGAGTGAATACACTGGTTTATTACAAGTTATTGATAATTTTTACAATGGTTGGGACTGGGCTGTTCTTATAGCGATCAGTTCGTGCACGTATGGACTGGTGCGGTTGTGGTGTCGAACAGCAATTCTCGGACTAGGGATCTCAGGTGGTAGTAGGAGCCGGTGTCGAGGATGGTGTAGAAGCTTCTTACCAAATTTGCAGATGAGGTCGTGGTGATGGTCAGTGAGAGTCGAAAGGGTCAGTGTGTTGAGCGCTTCTTGATATGTGGAGTAGGAAGGGGAGAGAATAATCTTGCATGCCCTCTTTTGCACTTTTTCTAGGTGTTTACGTTGTGTGGCATTTAGGGAGGAAGACCAGGTGGGGGAGGCATAGGTGAGCTTGGGAAGTATGAATGTTGTGTAAACACTGAGGAGCTCGTGTGCAGGAACTACAACGTACGTATTGTGTCGGAAAAAGTGGAGTTTGGGGGTCGGCCCAGTCTCTATTTCAATTAATCCCATATGTTCTGTTATTTCATTTACGCGTTTCTCGTTTTACGCGGGCCTCCATGGGTTCAATTGACCGCGTAAATGCAGACTATACTGTAGTATAATGATTTTTCTGGACAAAGAAGACATGGACATAAATAACGTGTTAACAAATATCATAAGTTAGATTTGTTCTAGAAATTAACTGTAGAAACCCCTTGGTGTGCCATACCTGTATTAGAAACTTTGACCTTGATAGCTCAAATTTCAAGGTCTGGTAAATTTTGTTAATTATCATATGTTAGAAAATCTTAGCATAAAGGCTTCAAATTCAGTACAGAGACTCTAGTGGCCTCTTCATCAGTTCATACGTAATATCTCTTTTGGCCAGAATCCCTCTTAACCGAACTCTCCGATACCCGGAATTTAAATTTTCTCGGAAAACGTTTCCAAAGCAGGAATTTTCCGGAAAATTTTGGCTTTGGGAATGATTTTCCGGGGGGCACATTTTCAGGAAAATTCTGAGAAAATTTTCCCAGTACCCAGAAAATGCCGGGGATGGGGGAGTTTTTTCCGGGCTTGAGAGATGAAAATCAGGCACGTTTTCCGGAAATTCCGAGAAAATTTTTTCAGTGCCCGAAAAAATCCGGATATGGGGTATATTTTTCCTGGTTTGAGAGATGATGTTATGCGTAATTTTTGGAAGTCACGAGAACATTTTTCCGTTACCCGGAAAATTCCAGGGATGAGGGATTTTTTCCAGCTTTGAGAGATTTGTCTCATTACCCAGAAATCTCTCATTCCCGGAAGTGCTCTGCACCAATTGTTCCAGGTAATGGATATATTACTTTATAAGAAAGGGAGCAAACAGTGAATAGCATTGCTGGGTGAGGCATGTTGTCTATGATGACCTTGTAATTTTATTTATAACTTTCTCATCATCATCTGAGATCTTGTGACAATCTAGGGATAATTTCATTCATACTACAGTTTGTTGCCATTCTTGAACTTGACGCAGGGATAAGTACAGTATTTATATATATTATTAAAGTACTGTATATAAAGTGACTGGATAAATGAATTATGTATTTTTTTATTACTACAGGATATGATTATTTCTGTTAAGTCCATAGCATATGCCCATGTGGGATGTTTAACTAAGTGTGCAACATAATATGCTTAATTAATGATAGTCTTGCATTTCTCTTTCAGTGCCCAAAGGTAACAGCGAATTTTCTAACAAAGTTCGATGTCTGATGGACATGGGTGTAGGAGAACATCAGGCTCTTGTTGCTCTGTCATCTTGCAACTGGGATATGGACCGAGCAATTGAACAGCTGTTCTCATAGATGCATGCATTAGTCTTTAATAGGTAAAATTATTCTCAGACAAATTTTGGGAAGGGGGGGAGCTCACACCTTTTAGATATAATGATATACTGCCATTTATTACTTTTACTTTATAGTAAATCATAGATTATTGCCTTCAGTATGTACTGTATATTTAGGAAACACCACACTCCATAGTTCAACATTATAAAAAATTTGTTTTAAGAAAGGTGTCAGAAAAGAGTGTTGATTGGTCAAGCTCATTTCCCTCAATTCATCAGTGGGCACATCTGATGTTATCAAGTGCTAAATTACCTATTTTACTCGAATTCACTTTCCAGACATACTCACTTGCCATAGTATCACGCATACAATTAAACTGTGCCGTATATCAGATACGGTCAATATTTATGTAGGTTCATTAATTTTTTATATTGGCATCATTTTGTCTTTGAATTATTAAGTATCATGCAGGGGTTTCTTACTTGTAATCCTCATATTTTTTATATAAATTTTTCTAGAAGTATTACAGTAGAAAACAGGTGTGTGTAAGGAAGACATGTAATTGTTCCAGTGATATTGAATTTGAATTTGTGTGTTTAGTCACAAGAGCAGAGAGTTGTGGGTAGTAGTAGGGGAGGGCTTTAAATTTGTTATGATAATACCATATATGGTGTTCACAATACAGTACTGTACTATATGGATTTTATACAGCTCTCCTTTTCTTTTCTTTCCAATTTTATGGCTAAAGTGATATCCCTTGTAATCTTGAGGCCAGTCACATTTCATTGTGATTTGATACATCATTAACATTTTACCTGGGTACTGTATATTGGTGTCCAGAAGTTCAATTGTATTCAAACATTTGGACAATCATCTTTGCCTTGATGAATTGAAAATCTTTCTTGGGAGTTTAATCAATTTTACATACTCTTTTTAAGTCATGTCAAACAGTTACCTCAGGAACTCCAAAGACTCTTGAATTAAATTGTGAGTTTTGCTGGAATTCTTTAAACATTACTAGAGAGTGAGAGGCCAAGTGATATTCAGTCTGCTGTTTTATGATGTGAAGATAGATATAGTGTGGTCTGATGTTGGGGGTAAGGCTTTTTGTCTGCCTCATTCAGGGAGTAGAATTGGTCTATCATCATACCAAATCTCTCCTGAACATGTATTTCCACCATCAGTGAATTATGAACCTGGTGTATGAGCAATTGAGGCATGGCAGTAAACAGTAAGCAGCTGTGTCGCTTATAAACTACTGACTTGGGTTATGAAGCAGAGAAGGTATAAAAAATATGATTTTAATATCAGTATACAGTATATTATAGATTAATATCACTTATCTACAGATGGCTTATGTTTTCAAAGACTTCCCTAAAAGTGATAGATACAATTGCTGAGAAACATTTGAGGCAAAATGAATCCTTGTTGGCAACTGTTATTTAAAAAAAAAAATTATGAATATTTATGTCACATTGACACTGGTCATTGGAAGAAGTATCTGCTTCCATTACTAGGCTTTAAGTACAGTACTGAAGTGTTTTAACTGAAATATTTTATTCCAATGTTTAGACAGTTTTGAAAATGCTGGTACAGTGGGGTTTCATTTTGCACGGGTATATCATACTGGTACGTATCCGTACATCAGAAATAATGCCTTTAACACATTTTAAAATTGCTATATTGTCCTGGACTCGCCAACTGAACCTTCCAAAAATTACACGCAATGTCACATAAATGGCATTTACATTATTAAATAAATATTTAAGGACGTCCGGGAAGTTAATATTGCAATACTCCACCGAATAGTGGAGGTGTGGGAAGCTCTGGGAGATGATGGGGATCTGAGGCAGGGGGTGAAGGCTAGTCGAATTCAAAGCCTTCAAAATCAACTGCAGACACTTGTAAACTGACTTCAACTTCATCACCAATCTCTAGAGTGGCAGGGTTATCATTACTGAATTCTCTTTGATCTTCATCCTAGGTGGTAATGAGAACTTGGCAGCGGTGTTTAATAAACTCCTGGTAATGTTGCTTATAGGGTTCCACCAAACTGTCTAACTATGCAATAAGTTCATCACTGCATTGTACACCGGGATCAGCACTAATTAAAGCATCCTTGAGTTCTTCAGCGTTGCTGATAACATGCGTCATTTGCCGCTGAGTCATGTCTCCTTCGGCCTGCTCTGGTTCCGCCACACCACCAACACTTCCTTCCGCCGCCTCAAACTCAGTCTCTTCATCTTCCGTCTCCTCTAGCATGTCGTCTATTGAGATGGATGCCCCTGTTGCTCCAATAACTTCCATCACATCATGTACATATCATGATTGGCACACTTATTTTTATAATGTATCAGTACTGTTATGAATAAATTAAAAATAATGGTTAACGCAGCAACGGCCAGTCCTACCTCCTCCTACCCCCCTTCCTTTGCGGAGGGAAGGGTTCAGTAGTCAGGAAAGAGATTACCTTCTGATTCGACTTGACCTTTTATTTTGAAGTCGCATTTTATATCGTATTTTGTTCTGTTATTTAATACTGTATGTTATATTATTTATGATGAAACATACACCATAATAGGCTTATCATATGAGAATATAATAATGAATAAATAAAAATGTGAATATAGCAACAAAAAGTCCCCCACCCCACCTCCAGCACATTTACATATGGTGACATCTCTTGTACCTTTTAGTTCTCATTGGACCTATATCAAATCTTATTAGCCCACTGTACAGTATCCCCATTAAAGACACTACAGTATATATTTTAAGAATAAAAAAGGTAATATATTTTATAAAAAAATTGATTATTTTTTAATGAACTGTACTACAGTATACTACTGCATTACTTACAGTACTATGCGCACTTATAATGTCCAGTAACTAAAATGACTGAAATTGCTAAATTATTGAATAAATAAGCAAAAGATCACTAAATTAACAATATACCGCTACCCATGGCTTTTTGCGTATCTATAACTCTGGTCACATTTCAACTAATTGCGTAAACTATAACTGTACACTCGAGACCTGCGTAAAATGAGACTTCACTGTATTATAAAATGAGTTAAGGATGAATTAATATTCGTTATTTCTATTTAATGATAGTTAAAACAGCCTTTTGCCACGAGCTAAGTTAGTTGTGCTGGTAATGTCCGGTGCACACTCACGGATAACAAAGTAGCTTTCCCACGTCACACTCAGTTGAATTAAAACTAATTGTCAAGCACTGTGCTATTTTCTATAAGATTTGTTAACTGGTTCTGTTATATTGTGCCATCCTACCCCAGTAGATGTGATATTGTTTATTAATGTTACAATTTTCTTATTTATTATATTTTTGGTTGGCATTGAGTTATTTAACATTAATGGTTTATTTTATTTACAGCTCATATACCAAATTGCTATATAAATATTATATTGATACTCATTGTTACTGAAGTTGGTGCAGGTATAGGTAGATCATGAAACTGCTGTAAAAGCTTTTAAGTTATCATATATTTTTTAATTGTTCAAAGAAAACACTTACTATGTTAATGTTTAAAGTCTTCAGTTGAAGGAAGTCTTTATGATCACTGATAATTTATAGACAAAGAATATAAATTGTATAAAGATTATCCATTTCTTATATATATATATTTTTTTTTTACATCTATGCTTCTCACCTCATCCAGAAAGGCACAAGCTGAATCTATCTCCAAGAAAAAATTTGCTGCCAAATCTCATTGACGTCTTCAAGTTAATATCCAATGTTGTGGACCAGATAGCAGTGTTTTGATTATTTGCTGAAGAATTATTCCTCATGTGTGTGTATGTACAGTAGCTAAAACGACTATCTGTGCAGGTGGGGGTCGATATGCCCTGAAATCTTACGTGTGACTAGTGACAGCCCTCATATCCCAAAATTTATCGTCCATGGTATCATATTGTTTCCCACAAAGTATGCACAGATAGTTGTTTTAGCTACTGTACAGTCACAGTCAAAGATAATCATCCATCCCTCCTACTATCATACAATATTTGCTAGCTCGTGGCCTTTCTACACGACAGGTCACAAGAGTGTGGGGGAAGAGCTAGGGGTGGTGGACCCGTGTAAGGTAGGAGGGCGCAAGTCAAGAGTCACTTATGTAGTGAGAGTGCATGTGGTCTTAGAATTATCCTTAACACCTGAAGAAGGTGTTAAGGTTGGTGGATGTAGCTTGACATTGACGGACTTAATGACTCTGGCAGTTGATGGGCCTAAAGTCCAAACAACTAACCAACCAGGAGGGCAGGTATCAGGGGAGGTGACATATGGACTTGACTTTCCCTTAGTTATCTATGCCTTTACTTGAGATTCTGGGGAGGAATGCGAGTGAGCTTTGGCAGGTAATGTGTCATCAGGGTTGATAAGGCATCTGGCTTCCATGAGGGAAAGCCCCTGATGTGACAACCTAAAAGAGGAGGGAGTGTAGCTTTGTGTTTGGCCTTGCTCACCTTAAGTAACACTAAACTAGGCTGTTATTTGATCACTTTCACCTCCTGCCACTACTGTTCTTGAGAGAAAAAAAAACAATGAATTGTTGCATGGAATATGACTTGTCCACCCATGTGTCCTCAGTCCCAAGAAGACTCCTGGAGGATATAGAAAACAGATGCCATTGGCTTGGTTATTGAGATTCTGTATGACCTATGTTGGTAAATATTAAAAATAAATGAGGCATTACTTGGAGAAACTAGCACAATCGCCACCCAAGCCACAATCATGTTTATGACTACAAACGGTTCTTAAAACACCCTATTTTCATGAGGTGATGGATGAAGCGCAAAAATGGCACTGACCATATGGTTAAAAGTCCATAGACAAAACCTAGCTCTGGTCCGTATCTCTTTTTTTGGGGGGGGGGCACCCCCCCTACATCCTTGTGTAAGGTGAAGCTCAGAAGCGTTTACAGCGCCCAACAGGGAAGCATGCTAAGTTCATGCTTGCCTTTATGTCTCACGAGTTAAGGCCGTAGAAGCCTGAAGAGTCAGTGGTTTATGTCATGAAGTTATTGGAAGCTCCAACAACTTTCCCTGAATACGAATTCGCAACTTTCGACTTGCAACAGGTACCTACTTTACTGCTAGGTGAACAGGGACTAATGGGGGCTAGGAAGTAAGTCCAAACAACTTCCACCGGCCCGGGAATCGAACCCGTGACATCTCGCTTGCGAGGCAAGAACGGTACCGCATCTACCACCGGTCCCCCACCCATATCTCATTGAAGCAACATTTTGACCATTTTTGCGTGGTAAATGAAGCACATCCGCCAAATTATTGGTGTGAAACTTACGGCCTTATGTCAAAAGGCTGTAATTGTGTTTGTGGGCTTGGGGTGGGGCTTTTGGGGTAAGAAGGGAATTTTATGGTGGAGGCAGCCAATCAGCAAGCAGAACTGCATGCCGGGCAGGGCTGGTGGCTCACTTTTATTCAGTCCTTGTCTTGAGACTTGAGTATGGAGGAAGTGCATCTCATGCTAAGGGAGAGTGCATTTCTTCAATAATATCGCCGTTTGCAGTTGTGTATTATCACTACACAACATTGTCAAGTGATTGTGACCACGTTGATGATGTTGAGGCCCAACCTGAGCCCTCTACGTCGATTGGTGGCTTCTCTTCAGTTATGTTTTATTCTCAGAAGCCACCTAGGGAGTCGGTGTCCCAGAGCCTGATGACAGTGAAGCCTCCCACAGTGGAAAACCAGTTTAGGGTGTATTTTTATTATGATAATCATGATTGGAAAACAAAAACATTTACCCGAGTTTTTATTACAAAACATTAAGGAAACATTATTTTTGGTTAGGTGAGGTTAGGTTAACAGTATCGTTGCCAATTTTTTTTCTTTTTGCATAATTTACAAACATTCAGCTTCATTTTAAAACAAACTGCAGCATTCTAACTAGAATACTTTCCGTGTTATCAATTTCTGAATGTTGCAAACTTTGCATTTCCTGACAAAAAATGAGAATGGTGCTTGTGCTAGTTTTTCCACGCAACGCCTCAAATGTGATTTCTACCCCCATATTCAACATTTCTCCTCATATCAACGTTATTGTAGATGTCTAATTACCATTGTTTAAAACCTGAACTGCAACCTGGAAAAAAATTATAAATAAGGAAATGGATGACACATTATAATAATCATAAAATAAGGCTCCTCATCTAATACTCTTTTAAGCATGCAAACCTAAAATAATACAGTATAGTGAAAAACAAATAAAAAATTTCATCCATCTTTCTCTTTTCATCCATCTTTCTCTTCCTTCTTTCATGAATTTCCCTGCTTTCTTCAATCCCTCTTCTCTTTGATGAGCAATTTGCATCGCGTACCACCTTCCCACACCCCTCCCTCCCCTCCCCAACAAACGGCCCTCCCCCAAGTCAACCATTCCCCTGCCCCACCCCACGTGACATGCCTCTCAGAAAGGACCAGGGCAGGCGCAGGGGTTGGTGGTGGAGTGGAAGATTACTTATGACCGCAACTTTATATATGTATACTGTACACGAGTGTGAGTGCATGTGTATATGTGTGTGCGTGTGTGTGTGCATGTATATGTGTGTATACATGATTGTGAGTGCAAGTGTGTGTGTTTGTGTATACGAGTGTGTGTGCATGGCTATCCTTCCGTGTGTTTGTCTTGATACAGAGCTGGTCTTACAGCTGGTGGGGCCCAAAGTATTAGACAATTTCACCATAAACTACTCAATATATTTTTCAGTCAACTTTCATTTATACCTGTACAAGGTTTTACTTTGATAATACAATGCATAGTAATGTGATAAATGTTTGAGGTAATACAGGGTGATTTTTTATTAAAAAAAGTAATAAAAATAAATCCCATACACTAAAACTGTATCAGTTGGGAACCTAATTGTTTTATGTAAATGTAGACTAAAGTTACATTTCTCAAATAAAAAAAAATCACCTTGTATTTTCAACTGTAAACTAAAATGCAAAGCAAATAACATTGTCTTCTAAAAGAAAATATCATAACAAAACCAGATTCCATTTCATAATACCTGTATATCTTTGTATTATTATCAGCTAGTTATTGCAATAGAGACAAACAAGGAAACTATCGGCTTAAAAACGAAAATACACTGTAGAATAATATTCCCGATAACTGGAACAATTGGTGCAGAACATTTCTGAGTTTGAGAGATTTTTGGGTATCTTGACAAATCCTCATTCCCAGAAAAAATCACATATTTATGGAATTTTTCTGGGTACTCTATTGGTGAACAATTCCAAGTCTAAATTATGCATCTGGCATGGAGCACCGTCACTAGGGAGACTTAACTGTAGTGGGACAACTACAGAGGTGTAGTCATTCATGCAAACACTACTGTACAGGTGCAGTATAGTAAATAAACAAAATAAACTACTGTATACACTAACTTGTACTCACCAGCAGATGCTGTCGTCTTCAGCTTATGATGCAGGCAGGTCAAATGGTGACATGATGATACAAGATGGCCTGCCTTTGTACTGTACCATCTACTGTTGGTATTGCTGTCACTCTCCTCTCCCTCCATGAAGGAAGGAGTATGTGCATGCTGTAAGCAGTACCTGTACACACACCTTCTACACACTAATTTACAGTAGGCATATACACTGTTCACTCTGCTATTTACTGTACGTACGGTACTTTCATACTTACTGTCTGTGCAGCATACATAATTGTACAGTTATCACTTCATATTTTAACACAGTTTTAATGGGATTCTTGGCTGTTTCTGATCCTGGTTCAGCAATGTACAGTAAAGTACTATCATACCTCTTACAGCGAACGAGGTACATTATTGAAGCTGGTCCGCCAAGCAAAATATATGTTAAAAGAGGCCATTATAACATGGTGCTTATGGAGATGGGTTCTTGTGAAATTAGTCAAAGTGAATAATAAATCCCTTTAAATACTACTGTTTTCTTACAGAATGACTAAATAATGATTAAATGTGCCAAAATAAGTCTTAAACATTTGAAAAAAAGTTGCAATTACAGTGATATCTCCATTAGCCGGAACAATTGGTGCAGAGCACTTCCGGGAATGAGAGATTTCCATGTAACGAGATGACTTTCTCAAAGCCGGAAAAAATTCCTCATCTGGAATTTTCCGGGTAATGGAAAAATTTTCTCAGAAATTCCAGAAATTGCCCATTACATCATCTCTTGAACCCGGAAAATATCCCTCATCCCCTGAATTTTCAGGGTAACGGGAAATTTGATCGGAATTTTCCGGAAATGTGCCCCTCGGAAAATCGTTCCCAAAGCTGAAAATTCCCACTTTGAGAACGATTTTCCGAGAAAATTTCAATTTCGGCTATCAGAGAGTTCCGGGTTTGAAGGTTTCCGGCTAACGGAGATATTACTGTATTTTGAAATACACATGATTTTCCGCTGCTGTCTCTGTACAAAAAGTAAACATTAAGCAGTAAGCAAACAGCACAACAATAATAAAACAACAAAAATGACTGTTGCAGGGTGACAATGGTAAACTTTTAAATTCAAATGAAGATTGTTAACATCAGTAATTAAAAGAAACTATATATAATAACACTCACCAGTTAATGATTTTGGAGGTTGCTGTTATCGAGTAGGATTTTGACAGTGGAG